TGACACATGAGTCTGTGTAATGCAGGCCGCGGGTCATGGCACAGCGGAGGATGGAGCACGGCTTTGTGCCTGGCAGCCCGGGAACCAAACCCAGCTCCTGCCCCTGCCCCTTCCCAGGAAGCACTGCGAGTCTCAGGTCTCCCCTCCACGCTCCTCTGGCTGCTGGAAGTACAGGAGGTGCTGTGTGCCGATCAGTGCCGGCGTGCAGAAGTCCCCCGGGGGTGGTCACTTAGGGAGACGTGTCGTCTCATGGTCGAGCAGGCAGTCCTGCGAGACTCTTCTTGCTTGGAGCTGTTGAGACTGAAGTGGGGAGCAGAGCCTCCGGAGCTGCCTGCGTTCTGCCTCACTGGGTGGTCACTGAGGGGTTGCAGTCAAGGCCCCAGGTGCAATGGGGAGTGTCGGTCATCAGTGTTTGTTTTTTTGCTTTGTTTTGCCTTGTTTTTTAAGGTTTATTTATTTATTTATTTGAAAGCAGAGTTACAGAAAGAGAGAGAAAGAGATCTTCCGTCCACTGGGTCACTCCCCAAATGGCCATAACAGCCAGAGCTGGGCCGATCTGAAGCCAGGACCCAGGAGCTTCTTCCAGGTCTCCCATGTGGGTGCAGGGGCCCAAGGACTTGGGCCATCTTCTACTGCTTTCCCAGGCCATAGCAGAGAGCAGGATCAGAAGAGGAGCAGCCGGGACTCGAACCAGAGCCCATATGGGATGCCGGCACTACAGGTGGCAGCTTTACCCACTATGCCACAGCGCCAGCCCCAGTCATTGGTGTTTTTAACGAACTGTGTACACTCAGCAACTCTGAAGGACTTGAGGAGACTGTCAGACTCTCGGTGAGCAGATGAGGTTAACCCTCAGACAGTTCTTTAGAACAGCACAAGAAAGAGTGGCTTCTGAAATACACAGGAAGTATTTCAGGACTCATCATGTGCCTTTGTGTCTGATTAGTGAAAGGGAAGGTAGAGCAGAGTCAACATCACATCTTTAGAGACAGCAGTTTCTGAACTGTTTGGTTAAATCTCTTACCATTTCTCCTCCTCACTCGCTGAACTCGTTCAAACTTCACCTTAGGTAAACCACTTGGTCCTGGGCATGCACACTTACATATGACCTGCTGCTGTGCTGCCCGGAGTTTGGCTGAGTTGAGAGAGGACCTGGGAACCTGTAGGATTCAGCAGAGAGCTGGGGGTCCCAAGGGCAAAGCCCCCGCTCCCACACACTTGGACTCTCTCACCTTTATCCATCTTTTAACCTTTCTCTTGTATGTCATCACCAGCTAGCTATTAAAACTGATGGCATTTGAGGGGAGCTTCAAGAACCAGACTGAAGCCGAGTTTATTCCAGAAACCCACCACCTTTTCACTGCCAGCCTGTTGGCATTGCTGCCCCGTGTGCCCCACCCCACCCCTGTCTACCTTTTGAGAACACTTACAGTATGCGAAGGATCAGTAGAGGTTTTCAAGCCATATTATATGCAAAGAAACTCAAACCATAAGTACAACATGGGAATGTATTATCATTTTTAAAGGTTCCAGCTTCGGGGCCAGCACTATAGCACAGTGGGTTGAAGCCCTGGCTTCAAGCCGGTTCTAGTCCCAGCTGGTTCTAGTCCCAGCTGCTCCCCTTCCGATCCAGTTCTCTGCTTTGGCCTAGGAAAGCAATACAGGATGGCCCAAGCCATTGGGCCCCTGCACCCGCGTGGGAGACCAGGAAGAAGCTCCTGGCTTCTGGCTTCGGATTGGCACAGCTCTAGCTGTTGTGGTCATCTGGGGAGTGAACCAGCAGATGGAAGACCTTTCTCTCTGTCTCTACCTTTCTCTGTAACTCTGTCTTTCAAATAAATAAAATAAGTCTTTAAAAAAAGAAAAAATGATTCCAGCTTCTTACTGCCTGCCTTAGGAAAGTAAGTGTTGGTCTGATTTTCCAGGAGTTAGATTTAAAATCAATTATATCCAGCTAACATTCACTGCAGATTTTAGATTTTAGCTTCTGCATAGTGGCAGTTCTTTCAAATGAATTCTTAAATATTATTCATTACAAAATCGCATATGGCTCTTCCAGCCCACACAGGCAGCATTAGTGGATGTGGTCTTTGCCTTCTTACGGGTGGTGAACGCATTTCCTCATGGGTCCACTGTAGCTCTGTTCTTGTCACTTCTCCATATTGACATGGCAGGTGGGCGATCGTCTTCTCTGAGCCGAGCTCATCTCTGCTGCTCTAACAAGAACCGCTGGACCTCACCTGCTCTGCTGTCTCGTGGAGTGATGGTCAGCTCAAGTACAGTGCAGCCCTGCAAGGAACTTTAGAAGTCATCTCATTTAATGCTTACTTCACTGATGAGCTAGCTGAGGCCCAGAGGCGATCGGGGATTTATTGGAGGACCTCCATTGGTTAATGGCTGGAATTGGAGTTGCAGAAGACAGGGATGTTTCCTGAATCCTTGGGGTTAAATCAAATATTGGCAAAACAATTAGTGGACCACACCTCCCTTGGTAGTATTTTTTATGGAACCAGAAGTTTTCAAGTTACTTTTTAGTTTGTTTTACTACTTTTTGGAATACCATTAGCATACTGGGACATTGTCAATATTCATGAAGTCGTGAAAAATCACATTTAAATGTTATAGAATTTTTTTGAGATTATATTGTGTGTTTAATAGGGGATGTGGAAAGATGCAAGTTGTCTCTGTTTCTAAATACTGAAAAGTAATTGGTGCTTTTTTAATACTTGTTCAATCTAAATAGAGACCAGATGTGAAAAGTATTAGTTTTTTTGAAAATGTGTCTACTTTTTTATGTGTTGCCATGGCCAAGAGCATAGAACCAGGGTTACAATCTCTGTAGTAGAAGCGGTTTCTGATTTCAAGTGCAGAAAGTGTGAGTTCTGGGCGCCATTCCTGGGGGAAGCAGATTTTGAGTGTCCCTGGGTTCTGAAGCAGTGTGTCCTTGTAGTGTGGGCTGACACTACACAGCTGTCCCCAGCAAGTCATTGTTTTGCCTGAGCTTTCCTTGGGATACATAGGATTTAGGTGCCAGCATCTCTTGTTTGTCTCCATGCTGCGCTAGATTTGGTGTGTAGTAACCCTTGGTTATTAAACCCCTGATCACCATATACTTCCTTTCTGGGGTTGGAAAGATGTGCTGCATTCACCGGCAACTCCAAAATGATCTTGTATTTCCTAATAATTAGTGATTAATACCAGCTATCAGATCCAGTGATTAAAGTGTTAAAGCAAAAGCGGAGAAGATGGTAAACAGGTGAGCAAGTCGGGAGCTGTGGTGTATGGCTGGCATGTGAGTGAGTTGCAATGGCAGGCCCCTTGGGTGCCGTGTTACTCTCAAGTGAGACCTCTGCTGTGGAATCAGGCAGCTTTCCCAGAGCCTGTGGCCCGTGTGGCTGTGGGCGTGCGTGGGCTGGACGTGGAGCCAGAGGGGCGGGCCCTGAGCCTTGAGAAGGTTTGCACTCTGCTGTGCGGGATGTCAGCTTTCATTCAGCTTTTGAGGACGAAAAGACAAAGTGACCTGGTTGTTGTCTCCCAGGACAGCTCCTTATCATTTTTCTTCTGGCAAAAATTGAATTTTGTAGATAAAATACAAACATCTCCAAAATGCAGTTGATTTATTCCATCTGCTCTGCATTTGGTGTTTTGAAATGACAAAGGTGGCCATGTGATGATTATTTCTGTGTAGCCTCCAGATGGAAGAAAATCAGGTTAGTGTTGATTTGGTGAGCGGTGGTGTTGCCGGGGTGCCTTTCCGGGACAGGGTCCACTCGGGAACCAGCCATCCATTGATACGATGTTGGTTCTGCTGGAACTTCATATGAGACACTCCTTTCAATTCCACTGAGCTGGTTTTTGAGGCCACCGTATCAAGAAAATACAGGGTCCATTTAAATGTGTTGGTTCGTAATTGAGTCAGCTGCTAAATTTGAAATCATTTGTAGACTCCTATGTGAAAATTGCTTCATTCAGAAACTTTCCTGCCCTCCCCACATGAAAGGGGAGAGCAGTTGCCTGCTGCTGTGAGACTCAGTGAACAAGAAGGAAGAGGCCAGGTAGTGATGAAACCCACACTCAGCATCGTGGTTTAATGACTGGGTTATCTTAAGTCCCTGTGGGCAGAGTCACTGTGGGCGTGGGCTTTACTGAAGCATATTCCTTAGATTCCACGAAGGTGCTTCCTTCTTCACACGGACGCTTTCGTCACCTGCCAGCCACAGTCCTACAGGGGCACCAGCCTTTCGCTGCCTCTCCCAGCCTCTTGTGTAAGGAATGTTCTCCTGCTTCTCAAGCGTTAAAACCAGAACATAAACCTCACTTAATCCCAGCTGTTATGAATGAGTAATTGCTCACATTTAAAGAGAAGACTAACACGGCCATGAGTATCTGGTCCGCGTCCGAGTAGGAGGAGGGGCATCTCCCTTCTCCCCACCACTCGCCAAAGCCCTCCCCCAAGCTCCCTATTCTTTGATCGGGGAGGACTTCGTGGCCGGGCTCTGCCTGTGTTCCTCACAAGCTGGCTTCCGGGTTGGAATCTGGCTCTTGTCCTCGTGGGAGCGTTCACCTACACAGGTAGCATCTGTGTTTCTAGGTCAGTGCCCAGAGACCTGTGTCACCTTAATGGGGCTGCAGTCAGCTCCTGAGAACCTCACAAAGCACCAGAACGTCTGTGTCCCTGTCTTTTATGGGAGACAGTCACCATTGATGGCGTGGCTTCTGGGCAGTGTTCACTGAGCGGCCCGGCGAGGGGACCTGCCAGTTAGTCCTGTTAGCCTCTGTCTGTTCAGCTGCTGCCCCACAGAGTACTCAACCACATGGCCACGTGGCCTCTGCTTCGCGGCTCAGGCCCCAGGGCCAGCCCCAGGGCCAGCAGAGGGGAGGAAGGGAAGGGGGAACCCAGCCCTCAGCTGCTGAGTGCGTGGTCCCTCATGGAGTGCTCCTGGGGGCTGTCAGAGTGAACCATTGACACCTAACAGCTTTGTCACTCTTCCCTGCCTTAGGACGATCCCAGCCCTAGCTCTCCGGACGGGAACGAAGCCTCCACGACAACCAGCGCCTTCACCATCCAGGAGTATTTTGCCAAGCGGATGGCCGAGCTGAAGAACAAAGCACAGGTCACGGCTCCAGGGACTGATCTCTCAGAGACCCCCATGAAACGGAAGAAGCGAAAGAAAAGCAGCAGAGAGACAGCAGACAAAAATGGAGAGGAGCACCCCCAACCCAAGGCCAAGCGGCCAGAGAAGGGAAAGCCTGAGGGAGATGGGGACCGCGAGCCAGCGGCCAAGAAGAAGAAAAGAGCAGGAGGCCCCTCTGGGGATGAGGGTCCCGATGCTGCTGCCCTGGCTGCAGAGGGTTGGGTGCAGCCAGCTGGAGACCAGGACTGTACCCCAGAGCCCCAGAAAAGGAGAGGAAAGAAACAGCTGCAGCAGCCGGCAGAGGTACAGGAGCCGGTGGACCCTGCCCTGGATGAAGCCCCAGTGAACAGGAAGAAGAAGAAGAAGAAGAAAGGTTCCAGGTGAACTCTCCCAAGCCAGGGCCTTCCGACCGCTCAGCTGTCAGGGCGCTGCCAGGGCCAACGCCTTTGGCCTGCAGTCAGGGCAGAGCGAACCCCAGGCCATGTGGGGACATCTTTCAACATGCCCGCCGACCGCCGCGTCCCACCTGCTCTCCGCGGTTGTCCCAGACCCTCTTCCCAGGGGCACTTTTTAAAAAGGTTCCAAATCATGGCTTTCATAAACAAATAAATTTTTTTTTTAAACTCTGAGCCCTTCATGAGGGTGTTTTCATGTTCATACAAATACATCCAGTTGTGTGTGTGCACACACATTGACATCTCAATCTGTGTTTGTGGTGGTTTCCTTCAGTAACAACGAATTGTGCTTCCTTGTGAAGGACTTAGGCTAATTAAAGGATTAAGAGGCAATAGTTTGGATTGAGATAGTTCCTTTTGTTCCATAGCCAACCATATATTTTTGCCAAGTAGGAATTACAGGACTACATTCCCGAATCAGAGGGCTTTTTGTTGTCTTGTGTTGTGTTGTTTGTGTTTTGATGGGGAAACTATTCAAATGGCTTCTCTTCCACTAAGCAGTGGCAGCCATGTGCGCTCAGCTCTTCTCCCCACGACCTCAGAGCCGAGAGGTGGACTGACGCTGGGGACATCTCCATCTTCCGTTCTCACATCAGCCTTTTCTTGCTTCCTGCACTGTCAGCAGTCAGATACAGTTGCACTGTGGGGTCCTGGGAAGCATTGGCCCGTGGTAGGCTTCGCCTTGGTTTGCACGATTCGGAGGTCTTCAGGAAGTTCAAAACGAAGCTGTCTTGAAATCCATCTCTAGATTGAGGCTGCCTGAAGAGCGTTCTTTAAGGAGTAGAAGCCATACAAACAGTCAGACACCTGTCCGCCCTGCTCCAAGTGCAGGCTGTCGCCTCCTTGTGTTTGTGCAGCCTTCCCCTGCCGCACACTGGCCTGTCCCTTGTGCTCGTCACCCAGCTAACTGCGGGCAATCCATGGCCTCCCTAGGACACAGAACAGGTGCAGGCTGTAGAGGGCCCCAGGCCTTCCCCTGCCTCGTGTCCCCTCTGCCTTCTTAGCTCCCTTGATCTTCTCTTCCTCGCCCCCTCTCTGGCACTGCTGCTGTTTTCGCTCCAGCTTTCCTGTACCCTGCTCCCCCAGCTTGCTGGGGCGGTCTTGTCGCCCGCTGGCCTCCTCCTGACAGGCCTGTCAGGGAGCTGTGGGCGTGGCAGGGAAACCTGGGCCAGGTGCTGCTCTCCACTTGATTTATAGCTGGCTGCTGGTAACAGGAACTAAAACTCACCCACACTTTGGTGACCTTTTGCCCTTGATTTTAGCTCTCGAGGTCAGACATTAGATAGTAAGCATGGTCCCAAGTCTTGAAATTGAGAAGAAGTGTCAGGAATGAGTGGTTTTAGTCTCTAACAACCCTAATTGTCTAAATACACACACACAGTCTGCAGAGAAGATTCTTAGGAATTCAAGCTGAAGTTGTCACGCCCCTCCAAGGGTTTAGAATCCCAGGCTAATCATAAAGTCACTTTTCTTCACAGAGGTACCTGCCCACGTTACCTCTGCTTGTCTCGTCTTGTATGGGCAACTAGGAATCCAGGGCGAGTGGGGATATGGAAAACCTAAAGGGAGCTATCTTTTTGAAAATATATGCACACTGTTTGGTTTTTTCTGGCCTTTTCTTGTATTGACTTTAGCGACAAAAATGAGAACCCGGAGAAGACGCCAAATGGTATGAGTTTGGGAGGCAGGTATGGTGCACGTAGGGCAGAGTGAGGTGCAGGCTGGGGGGGGCTGGAGGAGAGGGCGGTGCCGGAGGGCAGTTGTAGTTCCTGGGAGGAGGGCTTCCACGGCAGGTGAACGTGCGACGTGGCCGGGCTGGAGGCAGGACTGGGGTGATGTGCGGCCCAGGAAGGCCTGTGCTCAGGGAGAGCAGACAGGGCGGCCATTCGCATTGAAGGAGACAGAGGCGCAACGGTCTTCAGAAATCCCCAGCTTCGATTTCCCCACCTGTTTTTCTTTCAGACCACTTAGTTTCCTGCGTCTAAGTGGAATAAATACTCTGAAATGACATTTCCTAGGCCTGAGGCTGTTTAAATTGTTGGCATATGAACCCTCTTTCTTGGTTGAATTATTCCACTAGATAAAAATACAATGATTTTATAGTCTTCAACACTTGCCTTAGCATCCTTCAGTTTTAGGGGAAATGTAGGTTTCCAGAAAACGACTTGTCCTGGGAAGAGGTCCTACCGAGTGTGTGTGTCCTGAAGCAACCTTTTTTACCTTTTCTATTAAACGGGAATCATGAGTGAAGTCCAGTGGGCCTGGCCCTCGCCCAGGCACTTTAAGCCCGGCTCTCGCTGTGCTCAGCCCCGCAGGGAGGGAGGCAGCTGTTAGCATCTGTTCACTGCTTGCTTCCTCTGTAGAGTTCCGCTGCCCCCGACGCCCAGCCGCGCTCCCATCCCTTCTGGGCCTCAGCTGCCCGCCTTGCTCCTCTTCGTCTGTCCTCTGTCGAGCCCTCGCCTTGCATCCTATTTCCCCTGTCCTCAGCGACGCTCCCTGTGAACGTTTAAGTGAGGATGTATTTGAAGGCTGGCAAACTGCAAAGCGCTTTATAGTTACTCTGAATCTGTCTGCATGAGCCATGGAGAAAACACATCGGCGTGCAGACACTGCACACCGAAAACTCTCGGTGGCACTTCCTTTCCAACCTGCCCAAGATGTTGGTGAGAAATCGGGTAAGGCAGTCCTCTAAATCCTGTTTGCACGCCTGGGAAAAGCACACAGTTTCTTCTCATTTGTGGGAAATGCCGGTGCCTTTGAAAGCGGAAGGCTGAGTGAACACTGGTTTTCCAGCGCAGTGCACACCTCCGCCTCTCTCCTTCACCTGTTCACTGACTGGCTGCTGCAGCAAGCCGAGACCTGCTTTCTCGAAAGAAACAGCATCAGAGCAATGTCCGGGCACAATCTCCGAGTGATCTCAGCGCTTGGCTCAGCAGGCACGACTATTTCGATTTGAGTAAGAACTTCCTCACCGCCTGCCACCCTGTTTATCTCCCAGGTTCTGCAGCCGCTGCAATTTGGAGCCTGTTGTGCTGGCGTGTGGGGCTGGGGAGGTCAGGTTGGGTGCTCCAGTGCGTGGTTCCGAGTGCTCGATTATTAATGAGCAAATTAGCCCCACGTCCTAACGATGTCTAAACTCCTATGCAATCTGTAAGTATATTCAAATGACGTGTACAAAGCACCCATGAAAGCAGTCAGGGAGAGGCCACAGAAGACGTCAGGCCGAGAAGGGTGAGTGGCAGTGGGGTGAGGAGCTGTGGCTGGTGCAGCTGCTCCACGAGCCGTTCCCTCCCACTGCACTGGAGCTGAATTTTTGGGTGAACCTGAAGCGAACTTCAAGGAAAGCGACAGTGAATCCTTCAGCAGAGGAGAGAGCTTTGTAATCAGTTATATCTGAAATGTTCTATTTGTATTTTCTATATCGGATGTGCTTAGAGAAAGATGAAATGCTGAAAACATTTATTAAGCATCGATTCGAGGCTACAGGCCAGTTCAAGACAGAGGAATGCAACCGTGTCTCCCATTCAAGTTCTGTCAACTTGTGTCATTTAGAATGGGCCACCATTTCCTGGAATAATCCCAGCATGATTTGCTCAGGACTAGCCTCTGTCCCGGCCGATGGCGTTCGCTCCTCGTTAGCGTTCGTGTCAATGTTGCTCATGTTGGGTGGGAATCTGGGACCTGAATCTCAGGGATGACTTTCTTTCTGCTGAAATCTCCCCGCTAGCGTTTCTGGCCTGGGCAACCTGATGTTCACTCTCCCACACACAGTGTGTTGGAAATGGCTTCTGTCTAAGCAGGGAGGTGTTCCCAGTTCCCCACCTGCTGTGGCAGGAAGAGGAGAGGGAACCTCGAGGTAGCCCCACTCCACCCACCAGCCAGCGACACCCTGAGCCTGGAGGGGACAGCTACAGAGATGTGATCATTTGTTAAAGAAATGGAGAACTACGGAAGGCAACCCCCAAGTGCAGTTTCCAAACCTGGAGGAAGTAGGTTGTGGGCAATCCGGGGGATCCGCAGCACTGTGGCTGACGGGAGCACCCTCATCTTCCTCACCCCCGCGAGGCCCCGCGGTGACCACTCCAGACCTACGAAGTCTTCCTCCCCCGCCGTCTGGGCTCCGTGAGACTCCCCTCCCGGGTCTCCTCTCCTGATTGCTGCTCGGTCTTCCCCCTTCTGCCATCAGTGCAGTGTGAGGCGGTGGCAGGAAGGCCTTGGAGGTCCTGAGCCCGGCTCTGCCCTCCCCTTCGGCTCTGAGCACTCCCACAGGTGCCGTTAGTGCTCCCAGGCTTCCACTTTATCTGCAGCTGACACCCCAAGGACCCATTCAGTGCGTCCTTTCCAGGCCACCTCTTGGGCCCCATCACTGCCTCGGGGACCCCACGCTCCATTTGCTCTGGCCCTCGTCGAGAGCCGTTTTCAGCCGTTCATCCTGGTGGAGTGCCCTCAGCATCCTCCAGGCAGGTGCTTGCCTGTGACGCCCCCCCTACACACACACACACACACACACACACACACACACGACCCCGTGCCTGGTCATCGCCGCCCTTGTCTCACGGAGCTGGCCTCCATTCCATCCTCTGTGCCTCAGTCCAGTTCACCGTAGTACTTCTCCCCTGGCTTGCAGGTGCCCGCCTTCCGTCTGTCCCTCAGGTATGTTACTGTGGCTCTCCACTCCCAGCTACTGGGTGTCCGTCCTCCACCCCCTGCCTCATGCCCTCAGTCCCTCCAGCCTTCCCTGAGCAGCTCTTCCTTTCTGAAATGTCAGCGTGCTCTCCACGCTCAGCCAAGTCCGCCCGCATTAATGCTGTGTTGATATACCGCTCCCCATTCAGACGTAGGGCTCCTGAAGGCAATGCTCATCTATATCCTGAGGGCACCCAGGATGATGCCTTGCGCTTAGTAGGGCTCATATGCATAAGAAATGAACAGACCTCAGAGGTCGAGGGTATATCCCAGGGCGATGGGGTATGGCCAGGGTCGCACGAGGCCACAGCCCACCTTTGAAGTCCGTCTCCCAACCTCCGCGCTAGGGTCTTCCTGGAAACTGCCCAGACCACTGGGTCTCAAGAGACCCTTCCTAGGGCCTTGTTTGCGAGTCTTCCTTCCTCGAAGGACGGCCATAAGATTAAGCGAAGTGCAGACCCAGCACAGCACGCGACAGTGGGCACTCG